AGGAGGAGGAGGAAAAGGAGCCAGATAGTGTCATAACCCGATAATACTCCCTTAAACTCCGATCGGTCATTACTCTTTGTTAAAGTCAAATAGAAAGTTGAGAGATAGTAACGGATAAGGTCGGAGGTAACTAAGGCTGGATTTTATTTCTGGAGACAAGAGGTTTTACACAAGTTTTTAGGCTCTTTGCTCACCTTATACATGCTCAAATTGGTTATTTTAAAACAAATTAGAGCAACACTGTTAAAAATTACAATAATAAAAGATGAACATATTGCGTACCGGCTCTAAATCACTAAGATTTTGTTATTATAGCAAAGAAAGCACATTTTCCTATTGCATTTTGTATACAATCTTATTTTATTTCTCTTCCTGATTAGGAAAATTGAATAAGTGTGATTTCTCGTAGATATTTCACGTAGGTCGCCCTAGAAGCTACATCACTTCCGATTAACATTAACAATATCCAGGCTTGGATCAACATTCGGATACCTTGATAACTACTTTTGCTTCTGGGATACTCCTAATACCTGTTTATAATGATTGAACTTCACCTATTCGAGGTATATGATCATTTTGAGTCGGAAGAACGTATGATGTAAGCAATAAGACTTACACAAAAGAGAAAGATGGAGCAATGGTGGTGCAACTAATAACGCCATGCTCTTTTAGCATTGTTGATGCTGCCCATAAGTGATAGTTTCATCAAATTTATAAAGCGCCTTCCTTTTATGATGAATTTAATGGCTTATAAATTTTGATAAACCATTATCATACTTAACGTTTCCTGGTACAACCCATCGCGAATTAGAAAACCTAAGATGTGTGACATATCCAGTTGTACGACCTGCTTTGGATCTATGCAGACAATTTATCACCCAGACAATCTCGGCTGCTAGTTTTTATATTCACTTCTGAGTGTTTCTGTCCAATTTTTATCATCTATTGAGTAAGATAATTGTTCTTGGATCACAGGAAGTCTGCTACGTATTTATCAATAGGGCCACGAATGCCCCTGAGGACTGTGCAGGCCTTACTAGTTTTGAAGTCATTTTATTATCATCAAGGAAGTGGATCGAAAGACTACCAGCATTACAAAAAGCTGATTACGGGAAATTCCAAAAGAGATGGTGTATTTACCACTCTGATATGCACAAGTATATGTATTTCTCCAGCTCGACTCCGAACTCACACCCCGATTTTACCCGCAGAAAACTGATAGAACCTGTCCCAACGCCTGCTGGAGGCCGCAGATCTGCACGAACGACTCCAATTCGGTGCACATTTGCCGTCCACTTCGCAATCCCTCGGCTGCTGAGGCTCTTCACCCCTCGAGGAAAAGTCGCTTCTCCGAGATCTACTCAATTGGCTATGAGTGTGTCTGTCGAAGCGGTTTCAAGTTCAGTCAAAAACGCAAAAAATGCATCCAGCTAAAGACCGGTTGCAATGACAAGAGGTAAGAGAAATAAATTTTAAGTCTTTAAATGACCCAAAAGGAAAGGAAATCCCGTCACAATCTCAAATAGTTGATACGCTTTGATATCATTGTTAAAGCTTAGGCAGATATTTTGTGCAGCAAGCATTAATAGTGTTTTTACATGACTTTGACGCGTATAACTTTGCTTTTAGGTACGGGAAAACGCCGTGTAGGAATAAAGGGGTATGCCAACCTCTAAAACCTCGTGAGCGAACCCTTCAGAGTCTCTCCTTCAAATGCATATGTCCACCCGCATGGCAGGGATACGTATGCGAGGTGAGAAATGAAAATACGCTCTGTGGGTGCCATCCAAGGGTGGTTTCTGACAGTACTTGTGCCAAATTTAATCGGTAATATCCGTGGATTAATTGCTCTCGGAAGGGTCATTGTCATACCACTGAATGCCAATTTTTCATAAGCACTGATTATTTATTCAAGATATACAATTTACTACTAAGCAAAGATAACGTAATAGTCTTAAAGAACGTCATCCACGACCTGGAGAGGTGAATTAATTAAAGAAATGTCGATATATTTCCTCACAGGCACCTAGAAATCCATGTCAATACCAAAGCCGACTCTGCAAAGACTTTCCCTGCCAACGTGATCCTACAAATGAAGCCTTAGGTTATATATGTGCTTGTTCAAAGGGCTACGAGCCCACCAGTCAGGTAGACCCGACCTGTGTAAACATCAACGAGTGCCAGGACGAGGATGCGAATCCCTGTCTCAATGGTGGTATCTGTCACGACCTCATCCCACCACCTATGGTACAGGCAAAACAGGGTGAAGAATTCCGATTCCGGTGAGACAAACAATCCACCTGCTATTACGCCAAATTCATTGTTCTAGCATTGAGATAAAATTGTGTGAAGCAGTCTACCAGCATGAGATCCACATACTTTTAAGCAGAGTTACTATCTCATTCAGTCTTTTGGTAGTAAACTAGTTATTGTGCCTTCTGTTTTCCACATTATCAACTGTCGGTCGGTCCTTGTGGATGAGATGTGAGCTTGTCACTTTTACAAAATCAAGCCACTTTGGATTCACTGGTTAAATTTGGTTCATAGCATCTAAAGATGTGGTGAGCGGTAGCTGGAAGTGACACCCAGAACCCACCCTAAAATTGATGCACCGCTTTTAGGTCCCCCACTGCCCATCGACTGTGTATGCGTGTGGACTCCTCTTGATAAAGGCTCCACTCCTATGATAGCTATGTGGCTTCATTATCCCCCTTCCCCCTTATTACACCTGTCAGGAACATATGCCAATTTCTGCATCCATTCGCGAAGAAAGGATACTTTTTGCATTTCAAGAATGTTTGCTTTAGGAAGTAGGACTTCCCTACCATGCCCCTCACTTCTTTTGTTATACAAGGTTGTTTTTAGCTTCGAGAAAACCCCTTTTGCATGTAATAGCTTCTTAGATTGTAGTAAGAGGAAACGCAAAAACAAAAGTGGGAAGATGGATTTTCATCAAGCCTGTCTTCGAATGTCAATGATATAGAGATTCGTGTGACCTAGCGGTAAACCATACCAATTCAGGAAAAATGCCAACGTCTTTATACATGCATGGACAGATGCGAATGCAAATTCGGTTTCACGGGGATCCTGTGTGAGAAGCCACCGACACAACTGACATGGTCGGAGTGGAGCGACTGGGGTGCCTGTTCAGTGTCTTGTGGCATTGGGACTCGAACTCGTATCCGCACTTGCCCGCGGCCTGGAGAGTGTCTCGGCAAGCCTGAACAGACGGGCATCTGCAATGGGCGTGTGCTCTCCTGCGAGAACGCCAAAAACACCACCACGGAAGATGGCAAATCGGATATCGTCTACAGGTCGGAGGAGGAGAAGCTCCGAGAGGTGGGCAATACCAATTGTCCTAGTTTACATAAATAGCCTCGTAGAGGCTTGGTCAGACGATGTGAGATTTTGAAGTGATAAGTAATATGCAGATGGCCTTTCAAGCCTCAACACATATACTAATAAGGTAATTTTTGATTAGCTAGGCCGGTGTGTTGTGGACAGAAGCCGACGAAAATTTCCTGGAGGATGCATTCACGTGGTCTGAACAGCAGTTCAATGTGAAAAGAGGCAAGATGAGGAAAGGTACGCAGGGCATGTACCAGTTATTCAGGCAGTGGGCTGATGTCACATGCTGGATACCCCTATTCGGGATCACCCAGCGAATGACCTTGCAACGAGTGGCGCTTATCACAGGCTCTCTCGCTCTTACCTCGATCGGCGTTTTTGTCATCCTTGTCGTGACTAGCATCCTCTGTCAGCCAAGCGGCTTTGCACTGCGGAACAGGGAGCCACTCAACTGAACAGGATTTACCAATTCTATTACAGACTCACTCGTTAAAATTTGGTTCTTAAACAAACCAGTAACTCTTCAGATTAAACTACAAGCGGTTGTTTGTGAAGCACTTTCAAAACGTTAGGAGCAAAGTGAACTTTTTTCTCAGTAAGGCAGCAGATTAGACCTGACATCAACAACAACACGGAGACTCATCTATCGGCTGCATTGTACCCTAATAACGAAACCTTCCATAGGCTCGGATGCATTTCCAGCTTCAACCCAAAGTAAGTCAAGTTACCTCAAAAGTTCCACGGCCTTAATGCTCGTTCTCCGACCAAAAATCAAGAATATGCACAACCAAATTACGAAGTTCTATATTAGACCCCAGCTTCTCCTACTTGCTTAAAATATGCTCAATTCACTGGTGAAGTGTCTGATTCTCGGTAACATTAGACCTTGACTGGATTTGAGTCACCTCGAATCCACGCACGAAGGATGATGATCACATCGTATATTATCAAAGTACTACCGCGGAAGACTGCAGAACCCCCTCTCGACGAACGCTCTTGGCATCAGTCGACTAGGCTGCTGTTCACATCAGCAGACTCTGAGCCCTTCTCGTAGTCAGGTTCATGATAACTTTCCCAATTCAAGGCCCAAGGTCAAGTTACTTTCTGTAAAATGACATTATTCCCAGATCCTGGTTCACGCCACAACTGGTATTCACATATGCGGTGATAGTGGCACTGCTTCAAATGCCAAGTACAAGTTGTTTACAGAGGTACAAGCCAAATAGTTTTCATAACACAAATAACCCAATAAAAGCCATCTCTCAATCTCAAAAATGGTTCCATTTACTTGTTCATATTTTAAAATAGAAACAGCACCCGAATTTAGGAGCAAAAAAAGACAATTCGCGGACGAGGCAAACAAAGGAACTACAAAAGAGCCCCAATATCTTGACCAAACCAGAAAAAAATACCCTTGCGATGTGGGGTTATTTTGGTTAAAAGGCACGCAAAAGATCAAAAAGGGAGGACGGCGCTAAAAGGCCTACATCAAATGAAAAAACAGAGGAGATACGTCAGACTGGCAATGATGTGACTGAGGAAGTTGAGATTCGACCATTTGTCCAACACGTGGAACATGTTGTAACCCTGCAAATTGAACAAGTACACACAAATGGAATAATTTGTGGCACACCTTTGCCAGAGTTATGATAAATTTAAAGGAGAAGTGGGAAAGGATATTTGTCTTTAAAAGAAGGAAATTGAATATGGTAACATACACACACCCACACCTTATCCTGCTGTTCACTCGTATCGAACATCACAGCCAGGTAGGCTAGGTGGAAGATGGCCAGACAGCTGAAGAGGAGATTCACACCGCGAACCCACCAGCGATTCGTCTGTAACAGGGCACAACTTTTAAAGAGAAGCAAACACAAAATCAGGGATTATTCTAAAACTGACATCAAGAGAGTCAGTGGATGGATGGATAGAGGAAGGCGTTCATCATTGGTGCTGGGACAGCAGAATCGCCTTTACCTATCTGCCTACAAAAAAGAGGTACAGCAGCGCTAGTTCCCTCTGGTTTGATTCAACTCAATTCACTAAATGATCGGTAAATCTGTCACAATGTCAAATTTTGGCCTGGCTGTGGTGGCTGATCAGAGATAGCTCGTAATAAGGTTGAAGTAAAGAATAAGTGCTCCATTGAACGCTCCTTTGCTAAGTTTTGTTCTTTTAACCGGGGCTGTAAGACAAGGATATCTCAAGGTGGCTTGGTTGAACGAATCAAACATGCGAGCACGATACATGTTGTCAACTTTTCTTTATCTTTGGTCTTATCAAGTTTTTGTAGCTTAGAACATCGAATTTTGCGATTTCGCCGTCCATCACTATGGGATATTGTATTACCATCCCGGCAGTGGACGGAGGCAGCCTCAAAGAAGGATTAGCAAAATTCTACGCTACCACCGAGTGGAAGCACCAAGCTTTCTAATGGGGTATCATTAAGATGCTTCAAAGATGTAGAAAACTCCGAACAACATGGAATTGTATAGAGAAATTTAACAGATGAATCCACAACATGCCAATGGTCTGAGTAAAAAGCGGAACGCTTACCCTGTTTCGGTGATTGCAGGTTTCAGGACATGCACGTGCCCCGATGCACGCGCTCACTTTCGTTGACAGTCTCTCCCTGAATACTGCAAAGTGGAAATGTCGTGAAAATTAGGAGGCGCTGCAGTCCAAGAAGGTGGACGAGGTAGGCATGACTTACTGAAATCAATATAGGCATAAATTCCGATGGAGAAGAGAACAGCTGCCAATTGAAAGTTTAGACCCTGGAAGGGGCACAAGGGTTAGAACAAACTGGAAGGGCATTTATGAAGGAGCTTTGTAGAATTTGATGCCCGATAGTTGTCAGACCTGCGCATGACAAGTGGGGTGGAATGACCCCACGATGTGGTATCCGCTCGCGAATGATTTGTTTACATCTGCCCAAAGCGAGTTGTTACAGCACATCAATTTAACAAATAAGATGGACTACTGAGGTGTGTGTTAGAACCAGGCCTACATGCTAAAGCGCCACAAATTACTCACTTTAATAAAACTAGACACATTAGCTCATTAATAGACATTACTTGAGAGCTTTGAACTTGTCACACTCACATGCAACAATGAACTGAATGCATACGTAAGGAGTAGAGCCTGTAGGTGACCAAAGCGCCGTGTGGGCTTGTAAATGTCTACAACACCAGCAAAAGAAAGAGAGCGAATCGAGCCAAGTGATTAGGAGGAATAAAAGGGCTAACCCAAAGCTGATTAGTTGCTTTTCAACTACCACCTGATCAAAAAATCCAACATTGCCATACTTTGACTAGTCTTTAGTCAAGCCAATTTGACATCTTCAACGTACATTGCTTAAGCCAGAAATGCATAGGAAAGTTCCAGTGAATGACCACATCCACCAGAGATCGCGGCAACTCAATCGATACTGGGTTAGTCACCATCGAGGTCACGTAATTTTGACCTCTAAAAGAGACCAAAAGGTCACAGTTAAGGTAAAGTAGTGGGTCAAAGGAGAGTTTGAAAACCTACGAGTTAGGATGAGTGAGGGCCGCAAAGCCGATAGCCTGATGGAGGGATTGGCTGAAGAAACTGACAAAGTAATGACTGAATCGAAAACTTTGTGATTGAGCATAGGCATTTGTCCATCTAGAATACCAATAAAGATGGAAAAGCAGATGAGCCTGCTGAGATACACACAAAATAAAAGTTGAAGAGACACCTTACCGAAAACTGAGGTAATAACTTGCATAGATAATGGAAGACAAATATGTCGAGTAGATGATGCATCCAATAGCAATTGCAAAAGAGACTGCAGTACGAAGGAGATCTTTCCAAAACTAAGGGAGGAGACCACAAAAATATGCCATGCATGGAATGGGAAGCTTGAAAGTCAGTCATGAAGAGGTTCCACTCACAGGATTGCCAGAAGAAGGACCGATTAAGCGGATAGCATGTAGATAGCTGTCGAAACCGAACCACGGTCCAAAAATTACACTGCCCGGTGAGAAAGCGTAGCCACACCAGGCCAAATAGTGCCGCAGGAAACCCATTTCGAGTGTCTGTTGGTCTGGGCCTCTCGATGCGGCTACAGAAATGGCCTTCATCACCAGTAACATCGTCGTTCCTGCAGGAGAAAGGTGAGCGAGTGTAGGCTCATATTTAAAACCACGAAAGATAAAAGTGTTTGCAGTTAGCACTGCCTTAAAATAGGCCTTCGCCTAAAATTTCTTCCCTCTGAAAGTGGGTTCCAAAAAATCACAGAACATTCTTTTGAAAATTCGAACAGAAATGAAGCAGAAATGAGGTTGTGCAAATCAAAGCCTGGTAAAGCATCTGGATAGTTGCGTATAGAAGACAGGAGGAATACTTGTCATGACACCTCAAACAAGAACCGGCGCAGCAATAGATCAATCTACCTCTTAAGAGCAACCGGTTTCGACGGTTGACGGAAACGAAGTGTAAACAGTGAAGTAGCCTGGTAAACACCAAAGAAGATGCGTTAAACTGTTAGCGTTTCTGGGCGCGATACACAATCGCGTATGGTATTGTGAGAGGGTCTCGGAGTACCTTCGACCAGTCGAAGAAACTTGTCTTATGCAAGCAAATGATCACTCAATGAAGCTAACGGTAAGGGGGACAGTTAAACGATACAACTTTATTTTGAAATTATGTAAAAAATATGCAAAATTTAGGCTGGAACCGCCAAAAAATGTCGCTTTCTCATCGCACAACACGACGCAATGCAAAAACAACCCTCAAGCGGTTTTTTGTCACTTTCTCTTTGACATTACGGTAGGATGACCACCGACCAAAGCACATTCTTCGAGTAGCAGAGGCATCTTTACAGCACAGAATGCCAAACAAAATGCGATTCCAGCTGCACCACCCTTCAAGTATAGCATCAAGCAAACAATATTTGTGGCTTTTCGGCATAACCTGATACCATGACTTGCAAAGTGCCATCGTCTGTCCGCATTACTAAGCATAAGTGCAAGCCAGTTCACCAGTATTGTTTGTCAGTTAAATTGGACATTATTTAAGTTTGTCAGCTCCTCGAACATAATTCAACTCGGTTCCAGAGCTGCATGAGCTAGCTTTCCGTCAAGGATTGTGGATGGCATCTGGGGGAGGTGCGGGATCCGATAGTAGAAGGTGACATTCAGAGAAAAATATTAAAAAATCCGACTCTTGTGATGATGAGAATTCTGTAAGCTGGATTTGGAGGGAGGGAAAGAGATGCTGCCTCGTCTTCATTCCCTTCCTCCGTATTTCACCAATCATGCTTCTCCAAGCTCAAGCGATCATTATTGTCTTTTCTTGGTAGTACACAATCACATGCGAAATAGAATGAACAGAAAGTAACGGCAGAAATGTAAGTGGCTAGGGCTAAGCTAGCTACTTCCAACGACGAAACGCTTTAAACAAATAAGCTTCACCGTAGACGCCTGTCTTTACTGAAAAGGGATTAGGGTTTATAACCGATTATTTCAACGAATGAATATTGTGAGAAACTTCCTGCAACTATTTAACTGGACTGTGAAGGATTCAATGAACTTGTTTGGTTTCCTTATTCTTAGGGAAAATTAGAGGTTTCATGTCTAATAACATGACACAAGGGCAGTCAAGCACAAGAACTGTCATTCGACGCAGCGAGGGAGGAAAGTATAGAATATGATACGATTCACGATATGCGTCCGAAACGAGGCAAGGACGAGATCATTATTGGCCACAGCTGGCAGATATGGATGATTGATGAAATGGATAGACTGTTAGACTAGACCGAAAAGAGGGAATGAATCGTAGCACTCACCTCGAATCATGTGCCATTCACGAGGATTCATAAAAAATTCACTAAAACAGAAAGATAAGATAAAGTTGAACCTGCAGAAGAAGGTGGAGGATGGCTTTAGCCATTAGTCACTTGAACACACCAGTATAGTTGGAGCAGAAGACAGTAGACCGTCACAAGAACCATCTGGGAGGTCCAACCCACTGGCGTTTGAGATTTGCCCAAACGCACAGTGGTGTCACGAAGAATAAAGTTGGAGGAGACGAAAAAACCAACGGTGAAGACGAAGGCACAAGGTCGCACGTAAAGGTCGCCAAAGAAGTGTCGCAAAAGAATAATGCCTGAAAGATAATAGTGTTTGGAATGTTGTGGAATCAAAATAGCGACGTTGAATTGGCAAACCTAATAGTACGACCGCTTCAATGACTTAACTGTCAGAATGCAGCTAGTTATGACCACTTTTGGAGAAGGAAGAGCTGGACATCAAGTCTCAAACACGACGGAAATAATTCAGATGGAGATGTTTTGTGCGGGACTGGGAGAAAATATTTAGTCGACTCCGCCTTGATAATAACCCTCAACTAAGCTTAAAGGGCTCACAAACTTACTGTCATAGCAAAGGAATTGAGAAAAAAAAACACTTTTACTATGAATGCTTATAAGTGTGGCAAATACTTTGTGAGGATTTACTTAAACCTGCAGCGTCTTCAGTCAAAACTGCTGGTAAACACACTTTCACCACTCAAGTAGGAGGGACACAAAAGATAGATCCTACTCAGATTCATTTTCAAAGTGCCACAGAAATAGCAAAAAATTTTCGATGGAATACTGAAATTGCCATCAAAAATGGGAATATGGAAACTCTGTAGTGGAAGTCCTTTTAAAAGAGAATAGGTGTTACAATTGAAGAAGTAGATTTAAAAATTGCATCAGAAGAAAAGTGCAACCCACCAAGCAATATTGAGATGGCATTAAGGAGTGTTTCAAATATTTGCGGAACTAAAACAGAAAATT